CCTGCAAAACCTGTTTATCCTGAAGGAAGGTTGGGACAAAAGAAATAAGTGTGGGTACCATGAGAAGCGAAGCCTCCCTGAAACCACCTCCAGCTTTCTTAAAAACAAAACAGAAATCCCATTGTTCACCAGGAACTACCCTCAAGCAAATGTATTTAGGAGGCAAGGCATTAAAAATACAATCAGTCTTTGTATTTAAAGTGTTGTATTCATGCTATACCTTCACTCACAGATGCACATGAAATAGAGGGAGCTAAATTTGCCTGTAACATAAGCACCAATGCTTCATTGGCCAGAATACTCTTTGGGATCACAAATCCTGAATGCTCCCACTCATGTAAGCTCTTTCAAAGCTTACAATTAACATCAGTGATTCGGATGAATATTCTGAGAAAAGCAGATGCCTATACTTAGCAGTGTGCCTGGATATACTGATTTAGTAAGTCTATACCCTACCCTTCAGCACAAAAGCAAACAGAACGAAAAAATCTCAAGGCAGTTTACACAAAATTAAAATTAAGAACAATTCAGATACAATGTTAATATAAAAAAGAAAACAACAACTCAAAAGCGGTAGCATTAACAACCAGCACGCATAGCGCTTTAATAAAAACACTGAACAAAGCAGAAATGTTGCCAACACCTGCTTAACGGGAAATACGAGTGAGAGAACTCGTAGTTCTTTTGTGAGAGAACTCCAGAAATGTGGGGCCACCATGGGAAAAGCCCTGTCTCTGATGAGCCTTGATGGTGAGCCAGGGAGGGGGGCCATCGGAGTTGATCTCAGACTAAACCGTTCAGCACAGGCAACATGAATGTTTATGAAGTAAAACACTGGGAAGCTTATGCATACCCAGCACAGCAGATTCTCACATAGAAATCCATTTCTACAACTGCCCACCATTGCCCTGTGCTAGGACAAAACTGGGAGCTGCTCTGCTCTGCACCTGTCCTGCATCCCACGGTGAAGCCAGCACCCCATTGCAAGATGCCCATTCCAGGCCCTGCTCATGAGCCAAGAATTCCACCAGTGAATCTTCATCTACTAAGATGCCTGCAGAAGCTGCCGAGCTTGGAATTTTCCATGCAGTTCGTTCGGTACATTGCAGCCTGTTTTCTGGTTCACATCTTAAGTGACTTACGGTGAGATCCTTAGTGTGTTTAGACAGAAAGAAGCTAAGCGTGTTCCAGCCAGCTATGCATTTTTGCAAGATATTTATACTGCAGCCCTTCTAAAAACAGCATTTTTTTGTTGCAGTTTTGCATTTGTGTGTATCTTTCTGTAATGAAATCCCCTAAAGTACTTTTTAAAAAGTGAAAAACTGTAGAGCTTAATTCAGGAAAATATGAATTTTGTTGTGCAATTTTGTTCCAGTTGCAGCTTTGGCAATTTCACCCAAAAATCTGGTTGGGATGCATTTTTCAACCAAGTTTAATAATCCTCCAGTGTGCAAAGAAATGGGGATTTGGGGGGAATTGGTAGTATATAAACTTTGTGTCACTTCCTAGGCAGTTGTGCTGGCTGCAGCAGGCTGGAAGCTATAGGACTTTTCTGTCTAAGCACGCATAGGATTGTACCCTTAAATTGTTGCATTGTCCAAAGGAAGCACCCGGTTTTGTAACACTGCAGCCATAGAGTCTGTCCCCCATCAAATACTTAGTATGCAGACGTAGCAGGTTTTTACTTGACTTTCTTCTTCTCTGTCTAAAAAAATAAATCTTTTTTATGCCTCTGGCTATGGGCTCACCCTTGACATCTGTCTGTCTCCAACTATTTCTTTAAGCTGTTCAACGAGCTATAAAGGAAGCTGCCAAGTTCCACAACAAAAGTTCCACAGCAGCAATTCCCCTAAAATTCCAAAATTTCACAAACTACAGGCATACTTAGGTTTGAGTGAGAAATTCATTCCATCCAAATTTTTAGACATATTTGCCAAATCTGCTCTAACTGGAAGAACAGACTAGAATATAGTTGCACACGAAAATTTGCATTTCCTTCAGATTCAGCACTGAAGTTCTCCCCTTTTTAAAATATATGCATTAGGGGAAACATGCACAAAAATTTATACGGTACAGAAAGCTGTGCATAAAAATGCACACAGTCACAAAGTAAGGCTATTATTATAAGGAACCACACTATTATACAGGAAGAGCTTGCAAAAATCCATGCATTAGCAAAAATCCATACATTAGAAGCTAACATGGAAATTCATACGAATATTTGTGCAGACCTTTAAAAGTAAAATTCATACAGTGATACAGAATTGGCCCAAATGAAATGCAAGGTCAGAAAAAAAGAGAACCTGATCTCTCCCACTGCAACAGAAATTCCCTCTTCTATGGCCAGTGAGTGAACATTATGGGTTTCCCCCTAAAGTTTTTTTTTAAACATATCTACAAGCCTTGGGGATTCCCCACCAAACCTGCTGATACCTCCCCTCTTCTGCATCATTGGTGCCATCTGGCTACATAACAAATAACATTTCCAAGCACGAGCATCAGAAATGGAGGAAATGATATTTGGTGCAACAGACTTTCAGTCTACTTGAAATGCACCATTCTATAAGGGTTGCCTCCAGCCAGAAGACTTTTAAATGCATCCCATCCAGTTTTTTTCCCTTCCTGATCTGATTTTGGGCAGTAAGAAAATGACAGAAGTAGCAGTAAGAAAAATGCAGGAGCTGTACAAGTTAAAGAGATCTGCAACAGGGGGGCAAGGAAGTTGCACAACAAAAGCTTCATTGGAAAGCACCTTTGTTATAATTGTTACTTATCTTGATGCCAACTAGCCGGAGAGCTTCAGCTATTGGGCAGTGGAGAAACAGAATAAAAATCCATTTTATTCTCTGCTCTTATGACAACATAGTGGCAAAAGAGACCAAAGTATAAGAGCTCGTGTGACATAGGGATTAGACTGAGTCCCAGCTGAGGCAGAGGAGTTCCAGGTTCAAAGCCCTGCTCAGAGATGAAGCTCACTGCCTGCTCTTGGGAAAGCTTAAACTCCCTCACAGGGCTGTTGCTAGGCTAAAAATGGGGTGAATTCAGAGGAGGAATCCTGATATGCAACTTTGATCTCCTTGGAGGAAAGGCAAGTTATAAATGAATAATAAAAATGTGATAAACAAATAGTCGCCCAAGTCCCCAGTTCAAATCTCTCCACAGGAGAAATTTATTCAGCAAGCCAGAATTGCCTAGCACCTCCCCCATCTGCAACATCAGGACAATAATATTAATAATAACATCCACAATACTCATAATCATAATACTGATCTACCTTGCTGCCCCCTGGCTTCAGAGATAAAGCAGCCTGTATGAACAGACAGCTAGTGCATCCAGATGTGGGAGAGCACGGATCCCCACTCCAGCTTAGCTACCCATGAGGACACCTATCTTGCATTATCTCCCCACATCTCAAGTTTTATCTTTTAATCTAGAGCAGCAGCTCAGACTGCAGTCTCCAGCAGAAAGCGGGGGGGGGGGGTTAACTGTTTCCTGTCCAGCAGTTTTCTGCTTCCAGCTGCATTTGGCCCAGGGAGGGGGTGTGTGGAAGGAAGGGCCAATGGGGAAGTGGAAAAGCAGGTTAGGAGGCCAATGGGGAGGTGGGAAATCGGCACAGAAGAAAGAGGTTTGAGTTCCCTAACCCATCCCAGTGCTGCTCTCCCCACAGTGAAGACACTCTGGGGCAATGGTGGGAGGGCAAGAAAGACACACACAACACCACGCGCAGTTTGAGTCGCAGCCATCAAGCTCTCTGGGCAGCCTTGAGAAAGTAACTTTGTGTTCAGCTCAGCCTACCTCACAGGGCTGTTGTGAGAAAGGGGGAGACTCCTCACGTAGGCTCCCAGAGTGGTGGGGATGACTAGCAGGGCAAGGAGAGAAGGATGCATCGCAAACGGAGCACGGACATAAAGAGAAGTGCAGGCCAATTGCCTGCTCTGCCTCACCTGCGTCTGGGTCAAGCCCAACTGTGCTGCCAGCTCTGCCCGCTCGGGAAGTGCCAGGTACTGTGTCTGCTGGAAGCGCTGGTTGAGGGCCTGAAGCTGGAGGCTTGAGTAGATGGTGCGTGGCTTGCGGATCTTCTTCCCTTTCCCGTTGATGCGGATTTCTCCATTCTCGATGATGGTGGACTTCTCAAGCTCTTCAAAAACAAGCAGAAAAGTCCAAGAAGAAAAAAGTAAGCTCCTCTGTGCCAATGGACCTAATAGGTCATGCGAAAGAGTGCAGGGCTTTAGGCAGACTTAGGACCGATGTGTGCAAACACACTGGGAGGCTTCTCCAGTCTTTCTATCTCTATGCTCTGTCCTGCTCCTTTTGAGGTTTCCTATTGATTTAAGAGTGGTGATGTGGTCACCTGACCCCGGGCACCCTGGAATTAAGTACAGGACAGAGGCACTGAAACACCAGCCTGCCCTGAAGCTCTTGAGGTACAACTGGCAACCCATGGTTGTACCATAAAGCAAAGAAGGTACTTGGCATGTGCTCAAAAGCAACCTTCTCCCCAGTAAACCTGCAGGTGTGAAGAACAAAAATAAGATCCAGCACCAGCTGATTCAGTCAGTAATTCATCTCTAAGTGGAGAGGTGGCCTTACTTCTGACCAGGAAGCCACTTCCCACAAACTCATATGGGTGGGCAGGCTGTGGTGACAGCTAGATTCTCTGTGCATGCTCAGGAACACTCTGTTCCTCATTCACAGGTTTGAGGGTCCATGCCCAAACTCAGAGCTAACACCAACAAAGGTGCTCAGACATACAGCAGACAAGACCAAAATGCTCAACAGCAATGGATTCTGTCATCAATTAAGAAAGTAAAAAGGGGGGGGGGGGACACACAATGTGTAGAAGTCCTGAGAGAATACTTTACAGCAGCCTTCTCTAACTTAGTGCCAAGTGAGGTGGGTGATTTATTTCCGTTCCATCTGACTAGTCTGTTTCCCTTACCTGAACAGGTATGCCTGTGACTCACCGGACCAAAAGGAAAAAATAGTGGTTTTAAGGTCAGACCCCACTCAGCAGAAAATTCATACATCCCAGCTGAGTGGTCTACGTTTGCAAGCATTTATGTGTAGGCTGGGGTTCTGAAATACCTTCCAAGCCTGATGATGCAAAATTGGTACCAGGGAAAAGGTACTTTTGTTTTAGATATAAGTATGTTGTTGCTCAAACTATCATAATAAGGTAAATTATAAGCTACCCTAAAATATATGCAGGTTTTAATCACTGAAAGTACAGTAGAAAAGCAGCCAGCATATTTCTAATAATGTAAAATTTAAATTCCACTCAGTCTAACAGTTAGTATTAAAAAAAATCTTATTTACCTAAACTGAAATCATGGTTAGCTGAAAGAAACTAGATTCGGACGATACGATAATTAATCCACACTCAAGGGCTCAGTGTGGGTTGTCATTGAACTACTGTTGTTGAACCGAGGGCTTTCATGCTGCCTAAACCAAGTCGAGATAAAGAAGTATGGTAAACAACTCACAGTTAACCCCCAAAATAAACCTTGAGTTCTTTTCATGCATTTACACATTTTCTGCCTGTTTCAGAAATAACCAGGGTGGCAGGCACAGCACTCAGCCGACAGGAGCAACTCAAACGATGCTGAATAGCAGATGCCCATAGCAGCCCTTCTGTCTTGGCTCTTTTCACAGGGTGCTTTTGCGTCACAGATGGAAAAACGGAGCACCCAGGTTAGGACATCATGACAGACAATCACGGTAAGCAGAAGCCATACAGCAGACTGTTGCTTCTTGTTGTGGCTTCCGGGCCCCACAACGTAACACACCACAACTGGGTCTAGACATCGTTACAAGCCCACAGTGGTAAAAAACCACGATTGGTTGTCGTGATATGTCAACCCAGTCATTATCTCCAGTTTTTTACCTACACGCAGCCATGCAGATAATTCAGGAAACACTTCAGACTTAATCAAAGCTCCTGCAAATAGTTTTGATATCAAACCCTAAGAGAGCTTCATTGTCCACAGAAGCACCCTTATGAAGGTCCATCTCCTAAGATGAGAAGTTTATTGCTTCCAGGGATTAATGCACCTGAAGAAGCAAGCTCCCATTTCTAAAAACATATTTGCACACTCAAAGCTGGTTTGTAACATAAATTAACTGATCAGTTCTGTCAAGAACGTTAATGCTTGTCAGTCCCACAAATTATAATGCATATACCATCACATAAAATTTGTGGACTTCCGCTCCCATCAGCCCCACACTACATAGCCAAATGGTAAGAAGTTAGGGAAGTTGTATCCAAAACAGTTGATGGGTACCTGGTTGGGGAAGGCTGGGCTACACCCTCACAAACTACAATCCCCATAATCCCTTCTAGGTTATTTGACCATTAAACCAAATTATTTCAATGCGCTTCTTGAATTGTTGCTAAAACTACTTAAGACACAATTCTTTGCATGTTTAGACAGAAAAAAAAATCTACAATTCCTAATATGCCCCAGGCTGGCTAGAGAACGCTGGAAGCTGTAGGGTACCCTTAATGGGTCAGGACCATTTAAACTAGGGGATAAATTTTAGGCCAAGCTACAAGTCTAGCCTGAATGTTTGTCCATTGCAGGACCAGGGAAGGAGAGAAGGGGACAGAAATGAACCACTACTGCTATTCCACAATAGCTTGTTATAACTGGAGAAAGGCTCAAAGGATTACCCTAGCAAATTGCCTGGAGGTATCTGTGATCAGAACAAACAAATTTGGCATTCGAGCTTTCAAAAGTCTAAAGTTGGCTGAATTTTTATAGTTGAGTCAAAATGTAAGATATTTTTCAAGGAACCTTTGAGAACTAGCAAAAACACACAAATGCATTAGGTGATGTGGTGTGCACGCAAACACACACACACACAGAACAAAGATGGAGAAGTCCAGCCATTCCTGAGCAAGAGCAGGAAGCATTGTCATTACTCTGAATTAGCTTTGGGTGTCATCACACAGCTAAATCTGATTGGCTATGTGACAACATTGTGACATTGTAATGCTGACTAAGCTGCCCAGGGTTGATTACAATCACATAGCAAATTATATATATATATATAGAGAGAGAGGGGGGGGGGGGGGGGGGGGAGAGAGAAGGTTCAACATTGTCAATCAGGCCCTAAAGAGACGCAAATGAGATGACCAATAAGGGAATTCGGAGATCAATTTTTTCTCCCTGTTGCACAGACACACTTCCACACTCAAAAGGTTTCCTTGGGAACATCTGGTACACCCCACAACATTCATGTTCTTTTCTCAAAATGTGATGCCCACCTCCTGTCCCTGCAGAAGATGAAAGCCGTCTCTGATAGAAAATGCAGCCGCTTATGTGTCACATATTTAAATGCCATGGGTCCAAATTTAATCCCCCCTCCCCCCCCCAAAAAGAGAGAGAGCGGGCTGGGTTGAGAGGCCTCTGCCAAGATTAAAATTCAGAGACTGTAAAGAGAGCTTCAGCGTTTCGTTTTCCTTTGTACATCAGGACTGTGGAGCCCATGCTTTTCTAATGGGTTAATTCGTTTAAAAATGGGAATAGGAAACATAGCCTGCACACTCATTTCTTCCCAACCCTATGAAAATTCCAAACTTATTGCATTACATGAAGAATTCCTCATTATATTCCGTGTTTTTAAAAACCTGCTCCTTCCCCAAGGAGAGAGTAATTGAGTGGAAGAAAGCAGGCCTGCAAAATGCAAACAATTTCAGAAACAGTTACTGTCCAATCAGAGGTCTTGTTTTCCCTCATCTTGGCTTGAAACTGTGTCATGGGGAAGGAAGGAGAGGGAAGAAGTCCCTTTGCAGCCCTGGTTTTAATTCTCACTGGGGTGAATTTTAATTAAGAAGCTCAATTGACGTGCAAAGCAAAAGACAAGCTGTTAGGCTTAACGAAGAACACTCCCTAGACGCCTCAATAAACCACATCCATGTGCTACTGTAGAAGCCACAAAAGAGAAGATAACACTTCACAGGAGACAAAGTTTGAGGAGTCAAAAATACAAGAGGGGGAAGAGTAAAAAAATCACAAGACTCTGCTCTTTAAAAGTCATGAGGCTTTTATCAACACGAATTGGCTGCCGCTTGTTAAAAATAGTTGGTTTGCTTCTTAAACTCCACATGTGTGTTAGAGGAAGGTTTGTCAGAAAGAGCACCTGCTTCCTAAAAAATTATCTGATTTGCTGGAAATATTGGTTCCAATCCAAGGATCTGTGGAGAAGAGAGCAGATGCATGTGCTTTTCTGCCCAAGAAAAAATACTGGCTGTTTCATTGACTTGTGGCTCACGAGGCACCCTGTGGGGTAGCTCTGGAGTGAACTGGGCTGAGGTGTCCTCAAAAATCTGTACCACGTGACATGCTTCCGCAAAGGAGCTCAAATATGCCACTAAGATTCCACTCTGGAATCTGTTTAGAAGTAATATCAATATTTTAATTAAAAACAAAGCTGCATCTCTGAGAAAGGCTGCCCTTGAACTGAGCACTGGTCGCACCTGCAAAATTAGCCAGCAGTGCATATGCGGTTATGGAGCCACAAACCCATGCGGGGCACAGCCCTTTCATGCCTAACACATCTGCTCCTTTCCACGAGCTTCCTGCAGAAACCCAGAGCCACACTGAAATTGCTGAGTACTTTTAGAGAAAAAGAAAGTTCAATTGCATTGTTCAACTCCTCTTGCAATTTTTTTTTTAAATCTTAGAATCTTTACATGGGCAGCTTCCTTTTTATATTGCATTAAGCCACAGCAGCCCGTAATATTTTAACTTGTCAGAGATGTTTGATGTTTCATTTCTCATCACTATGCTCCCAGTTCCAGTCGTTCAGAACAGCCCTCTCTGTGTATCTTTATACAGAAGTCAGTCTGCATAACTAGTGGAAGCAACTGTTTTCTAATTAATGATTTTGGTCAGAAGATAGGTAGATGTAACTAACTCCCTAATCCATGGTGCAATCCTATGCATGGCTAGATGGGAAAAAAAGGCCTGTGATTCCCCAACATGCTGCGGCCAGTTTGGATTCAGTGAGATCTTCTCCCATTTAAACATGCATATGATCAAACAGAACTAGCCTTAATTCTGCAGCCCCGTGCAAATGTGCGTGCAAGTAGGTCCTGTTGAACTCCACGTACTTCTAAGTAAGTATGCAAATGAG